TTTTAGAGCCAAATGATGGTTTAATTAATTCCTAAATGCATAATTAAATCCTAAATATGCATGAAACATATATTTTTGTATTTTTCAATTAATTACAACAAGATAAATATTTACGGATAAATAATTACCAAAAATATCACGCAAATTCTCAAAATTGTACCCGAAAGCAACTTGCTTTATTTCTTGATTTCTTTTGGAGTAATTTCCGTGAAGCAAAAATCACGTGCTCACAACATAAACTAAGTGTCCCATAAGAATACCTATTTGCAGCGTCGGTTCAAAGCGCAATCATTACCTATTTGCCCCAGGCTTTAAGACGTCACTAGCCAAAGATGCATCTTCTTGAACACCAATTCGGAAGGTCACCAACTTCCGGCACACAACACAAAGAACTCCCAAATTGTAAAGTAAATCTCTACGCATTTGCGAAGCTAATCAGAGTTTCATCTTTCTCGATAACTCTGATCGAATTTTCTGACGGTTTTCCCCCTCGTAAGCCTTTCCCTTCATATAAAAAATTAATAATTCTTAGACGTCAAAGCCTTGACCTGGGAAAAGGTCGTCTACTCCATCTCCAAATGGGCTGGTGCTAAGTTTGACAAACACCGTAAGCAATCACATCGTTTTCGTTTGTACAATAAAGTTAATATTTTATTTGTCTCCTTTAACACTGATTTGATTGCTTTCATACAGTTTAAGATATTTTTTTTGTCAAAGTAGAGGATTAGTAATGGACATGTCTTCCTTATATGATGGTCTACATGAATTAAGGCAAATTTATTTTGTTAGGATTTCTTGTCCTTAAACGAAGGTAAAAGGATATCTGGTTTTGTTATACCTTTACAATGTCCTTCCAAAAATTAGTTTAAGATAGTTTCTGTGCATCAAATCTTATAATTAGGCTAGGCCAACAATTTTTTTACTGGTCAAATTTTCTGGCACTAACTTCTGCAAGGGAATGTTGTAAATTGACAAGGACTTTGAGTGTTTATGAGATAGCTTTGATAGAGAAAAGATAATTATATTACCATCACATAATCATTGAAAGTACCTGTATCTTATAAGAGATGAACATCATTGATCACTTCAATTTGATAGAAGCACAAAAAATGTGCAATCCACATTCTTATCCCAACTTATGCCGAATCTACGATATGCAGTAGTACTATGTTTTCCAGTAGTAAAAGTCCACTGGGATTAAGGACTGAGACTCATTTTGACTGACAAAAAGGATTTGGTGATATCAATTGAAATTGATGTTTATTCGCATTTTTTGCTTAAGCGAATTTGAAGAAAGGTATCATATGTCACGGTTTTTTGTCTAGACATTAGCAAGACGTTTAGCGATTCCACATAATCACTCCATTGACAATCTTGGTGAATGATGTACTCGGGGTTGAGGTGGACTAATTTTTAGACCTCGGATCTATAACCAGGTTTTCTATTCAGACTGTCCCACCTGGTATCATTGTGTGCTTACCAACTCGATTATGTACCTATGAAATCCATGGCTCTTGAAGAGGTATACAACTTTCTTCTCGCTTAGAAGTTTTTCTTTTTGTTTCCTGTTATATAATTTGGTGTTCATATAATTCATTTTAAGAGGATTCTAACTAAATGTTTTTTACTTAGGTAATTAGGAACATAAATGAATTGACATGGATATATTCTTATATACTCAAATTTTTCCTGTATTTTTTATCCTGACCTTGATATGAATCTTCTTATAAAGTGCTCTTTCGAAGTATTTTTAGGGTGAAACTTAGGTCAAATTTTTATTTCATATTTTTATGTAACTAAATTTGAGAGGTTGCCACACACTCTCTAATTATTTATTACCCGAATGATAAAAGTAGTGGGCAACATCAAAGCTTATGTGTAGATGTGGTAAATGGTATATTGAATTTGGGAATGTTGATTGTGACAGCGGCTTTGCAATACTTAGGTGACCTTTATAGTCCAAGTATTTCAGATAATCGATTAGTTTTAAGCTAATAGAATGGTGTATTGACTTCTCTAATTCAAGTTTTTGTTCTCTATTTAGGTTTTTAAGTAAATTTCCTCAATTCAGAACTTCCATTAATACTTTTTTCCAGATGATTGGTCACGGATAATATTTGGCCAAAATATGGATTCTCCCAATTTGTTGCTTGATGGTCAATTATGAAAGCATAGTTTTTCTATAACAACGTTGAGCACTTTTCTTTCCTCTCCTGCTCTCTCTCCAAAATTGCACAGATTTCTCTTTCTGCCCTCTGTTAGAATCTGTAGATTCAATTTTCAAGAGAAATGGTCGCAATTTCAAATCCATTGTTCGTTAAGCCAAGGTTTGTAATACCATTGTCCCATTATCATGGAGTTAACTATGCTTTAGAAGGTATTTTTTTTGTTGCTTGGATTTTGTTCATCTATATTTCTCTTCTTAAAGGATATCAAAACAAGTCTATTAAAACTTCTATACATGCGTAATTATTTTATGGATTTTCCACCAATACAAGTCTATTAACTTTTAGACATGCATATGACATGTATGCACGTATAGAAGATAGCAGATTGGAGCTCTCATGGTGGCCTTCGCGGTTAGTGTCATTATTTTTTCTTCTTTTCTTTTAGTATTGTTTTGGCTTATTATCTCAGTACTTTTCACTGATTTGAATTTTTCTCCGGGCTGTGGAATGGCGGAGTCGATATATCACAAAGCTACTTTTCCTATTCAAAATATGAGGAAAATATCAATGGAATTGAAGGCAACAACTCAAGAAAAACTTAGCAGCTCATGGCGAATTGTTTTGAGTATTGCAAGATTTCTTTCCTTATTCATTTGTTTTCTATGTATATTCTTCTATATCATCAGGATAACATTTGTAACAAATCTGAATGTGCCATTTAAATTCAGTCCAACAATAAATCATGTACGTCTCAATTTCTACTTAATTTTGGGTTGATTTCTTGTGTGTTATGAAAGTTTGCTATTTATCTGATATGAAAGTAAGATATTGACCCAGAATTTGAACATAGTGGGATGTAGGGGAGATAAAAGAATAATATTATTTGGAGTAAAGGGTCAGATATATTCCTGTACTATTAAAAATTGTCCACATATTTCCTCCGTTATACTATCAGTTTAAATCTACCCCTCCCGTTAGCAAAGTAATAAAAAATATCCTTATTTTTAGCGGTGCTCCACCATGGCAATCCAAATCCTACATGGTCTCTGACATTTGGGTGAGGTGGATGTCACGTGGCATACCACCTCACCATCTTCTTCCCCTTCCATTTCTTTTTAGTAAACAAAAATATGGCTCATTTTATTCCCAAAAATAAAATCTGAGTAATGTGTAGATAATTCTGTCATTCTGGAAAAAATCAAATCTTAAGCAAATAAAGGTTAAAGCCTTCTCCGTGAGCTCATTTAATTAACCACTTCTCCTTCTACTGAGCATAACTTTATTTCCCAAATCTTCATTATATATATATATATATATATATATATATA